CATCCCACGTGCTCCCTCTCTGGACTAAGCAGCCCTAGGGGTTGCACAAGTTGGGATTTTCAACCTCCCTCCCTCCCCATGCTGAGGGTCCTCTTAGGAACATGATGCCCAGAGTTCACCCCTCCCCTTTGAAAACCAGTCTCTGGCACTGCCCCTTTCCAGGATTTCCCAAAGATGGCCACCATGGCCCCCTTGACCCTCAGGATGTAATGCATTGGCGTGGAGTTCAAAGTAACTAAAGCACCTACGTGTCACCCTCCTTGATGGAGAGCGAGACGGCAATGCGGGGATGGAGTGGCTCAATGCGCTTTTCTGGTACACATTCACATCACACCCTAGTCTTCTTCCATGAGGCAGCATGGTGCCTCTGGTCCCACATCAGACATGGGGGACCTTGGGAAAGTCATTTAAAAATCTCAGGGCCTAAGGAAAGCCCATGACTCACTTGGGAGAGTGTGGTGCTGACAACACCAAGTCAAGGGTTAAGATCCCCTTACCGGTCATCTTAAAAAAAAAAAAAACTTCTCAGGGCCTGTTTCCTTATCTGCAAAATGGCAGGATTGGACTAGATGGTGTCTAAAGTCTTCTCAAGCCTGTGGATCCAGGCCTCTTCCATGCCCACCTGCCTTCAAGAAGTTCTGACAACTCTGGCAGATAAGGACCTCTCAGCCCCCGCATGTGAAACAGAGCCTGGCATGCAGTAGATGCTCGAGACATATTTGTTGACAGGATGGGTGGATGGTTAGATGGATGGACAGACCCTCCAGGGTCCAGACCTGCTGACAGAGAAGCTGGCTGTTTAGAAAGAGGGACCCAGGATTCCTCCACCTGCAATATCAGCCACTTACATCAGGAGCAAGCACCAAGGGTACCTGGAGAGAAGGCAGACCAGGAACCCACTCCTGACCCAGCTCCTGCCACTGCTAGCTGTGTGGCCGTGGACAAGCCACCTGGCTTGTCTCAGCCTGTACCATACTTGCTCCACTGCACAGTATGGACCTCCTGTCTATCCAGAGTGGGCTCGAGCCTGCCCAGGCTCCTCACAAGTCAATGCGGGTTCTCACTGGCCCATTGTCATGAAAAGGGCTTTGAAAACTGCAGGTGCTATGCAAGTGACAGTGACATGCGACGCTACTAGTGGTTAGAAAATCCCCTCTCCCCTTTTCAATAGCTCTGTGGCCTTTGGCCTCAGTTCCTCCCTCATCTGTGGCATTGGGGATAATCATTGCACATCCCTCATTGTGCTGTTATTAGGATTAATGAGTTTATTTTTGTAAAGCTTTCAGAATAAAGCTCAACAGAGACAAAATTCCATAAAGGAGTTAACTTTTCGCTGTTGCTATTACTACTGTTATGGGTGAAACCAGCCTGACGGTCCCACTCCTGCACTCACCTCCTCCCCTCCAGACTCCCCATCTGACCCTGATTCATTCTACATCTCAAGCCCCTGCAAGGGGACTGGCTTGTTCACGTCATTTCTTCCCCCACCCAGGTCTCCTGGGTGCCAGGCTGAGTGCACACAAGGGCCCAGAGTCCAGCCAGCCTTGGTGGCCACTCCACAGACTGTGACCCTCAGGAAACTCCTTCAACTCTTATATTTCAGAAGTTGAGAAAAGCTGCTTCAGCTCTTTCTGAGGACCAAGAGTGTCCGTGGCAAACAAGCCACTCCTCTCCATCCTGTCCCACCTGTGGACCCCACAGGAGGGCGGTGACCTTAGGACCCTTCTACCCAAGGCCTCGGGCAACATCTGTTGAGTAAGACAAAAACATGGGTTGAAGATTAAGCCACTTTGCCCCAGCTGTGCAGGCACAGGCTGGAAAATGTGTTTGGCTGGCAGGGCCTGACACTGGGCAGAAATTCCATGTCCAGAGATGAAGGGTTCTAATTCCAGAGGGGTCAGTGAGAAGGCCAGAGAGAGAGCTGGAGCCAAACTGAGACACGGAGACAACACAACAGACAGATGGACACGCAGTGTGAGGGAACAGGCAGGGGGCAGGGAGGCCAAAGACCAGCCTGACAGAGGCTGAAGGGCAGGCAGTGAATGGAAAAGGAAGGAAAAATACAAACCCTCCCTTTCCTCCCTCCTGTGAACCTGCTCAAAGAGCCTGCCTCACCCACCGGTGAGGAAACAGGTGCTGAGTGCTCTCAGGGGGAGCCACACTTTCTCCCGGTTTCCCCCGGGCCACTTTCCCACTCCCCAGAGACAGCAAAAGAGCTTGCAGCTGAAGGTAGCATGTTCCTCCCTCGCCCCCGCCCCGCAGACCCCCACCCACAGAACCCTGTCATCCAGCCAGGGAATATGAGCAATGGCAGCGCCATTGATGCGGTCCCTAATAATCTGTCCTGGCCAGTGGGCTGAATCCCTTTCTTCCAGCCAGTCAATAAACATGTATACAGCACTTACTGTGTGCAAGACAGTGGGAATATAGTGACGAACAAAACAGATAAAAATCCCTTGTCCTCATGGAGTTTGCACACTGGTGTGGGCGAAGCCCCTTAAACAAGATAAAAAAGCAGAATGCATAGTGTATCAGAGGGTGATGCATGCTGAGGGGCAACAAAAGCCAGGAAGGAGATAGGGCTGCTGGGGGAGGGGAAATGTGGACACGTGAGTAAAGAGCTGGGGGAGGGAAAGAGTATTGCTGGTATTTGAGGGAAAAGCACTCCAGGCAGAGGGAACAGCAGGTGCAAAGGCCCTGAGGCAGCATCGTGCCTGGTATGTTTAAGGACCAGCAGGAAGGCAGGTGGCTGCAACAGAGTGAGGAAGGGAATGAGCCTTTAGGAGGAGATGAGGTGAGAGAGGAAACCAGTTGTGTAGGGCTGTGTAGGCCAATGGAAGGACCTGGACTTCTGCTCCAAGTAAGGTGGGCAGTCATTGGAAGATTTTGAATACAGATTAATTAAATGGATTAATTTGCTCATTTTATTCTTTTGACAACCTTATGGGGTAGGTAATCTCACATATTCCCATTCTGAAGAGGGAAATTGAGGTCCAGAGAGGCCAAGCAATGTGTTCAGGGTCATGCACCCTGGGAGTGGGGGAGCTGGGATCCAGAAGTAGGTAGCTCAACTCCCTGACTCCTAACTACCACTGGGGAAGTGGGCTTTAACTCAGGTCGGGGAGCCCCTAGGAGCACAAGGTGGTGTCACAGCCACTCCCCCACCAGGTGGCTGATCCAACCTCCTTATAGGTTAGAATCCTCTGGCACAGGTGGGGCACATCACGGAGACATGATGATTCCACAGCCTCGCTGGGGCAGGCAAGAGTCCCTTCTGGATTCTAACTGCAATCCTCCAGCTGGAATGCCACCTATTCCCTTCTGTCCCAACTCCTGACCCCACCTCACATAAACAAAGCTCATGAGACTCCTGGCAGCCAGACATCTGGCCTCTGCCTGGTGGTCCCTAAACCCTGTACCCCCAGCCTCCCAAACCAGCCAAGGACATTCTGTTCTCAGCCACAAGGTGGTAGTTCAGCTGGAATGATGAGAGACGTATGCTCATCCCTCCCCACCCACCATCCTCAGGCTCCCATGGTGTCTTTCTGCAATCCCAGAGAGATTTCTTATTGGCAGTTCCAAGCCAGGCTGCACTCTGCCCCCCCACCTCCCACCCTCTGCTGTTGTCAGATGACCCTTGACTGGGCTCTGTGAGAACAACACTCCACATCTGGAGCAACATGGCTGGGCAGCACTGAGGCCCAGAAGGACCTGACCCTAATGAGACCGGAGAGGAGTGGCCACTGCAAAGAAGGTAAGCAGCTGGCAGGGCCTGGCCCCAAGTGCAGAGAGAAATGACACTGCTCTGGGCCCACAGGGATCTAAGAGACCCAAGTGTACTTTATTTCATTCTATTGCCACCTTGAACGGGGAGGAAGGGAATGCCTATCAGCACTGAGAAAGCCTTTGGAGTATCTAGTCCAACGCCTCTCTTTGACAGAAAGGGAAACTGAGGTCCAGAAAGAAAGAGCATGGGACCAGCCCATCATCCCACGACAAGTCGGTGTTAGAGCAAAAGGAGATTATGTGGCCTGACTGAGCATCCAGTGTTTGGGCTTAGCAAGCCACCGCATAGGTGTTTGGTATACCTACAAATGCCTAGGCCCCCATGACACCCTTGCCCCTCCCCCAGACTCCCACCAACATCAGCACCACCCCAAGCACCTCCGCACCAGCCAACCAGATATTGCCCACATGGCGCCCCCTCCGTGACACCTCCCCACACACGTGCATGCACGCACGTACACATGCACATGTGTGCAGACCCCTTCCCCGGCAGTCCCCAGAGCCCTGGCTGCCTCCAGCAGCATGCCAAGGAGCGGGAGAACCTCTGAAGGGTAAGAAGGTGGTGAGAGGGCAGGGAGGAAGAGCTCCCAATGTTCCAAATCAGGACAGCTGGAATCAGTCTGGAGCAGGGCCGTCCCCACAGCCCACAGGGGAGGCCCCTGTCCAGGCTATTCTGAAAGCCCAGTGTGGGGGCAGGAGGGAAGAGGAGTGCGGGAAATGGAGAGAGAGCAGAAAAGCAGAGTCAAGCCAAGGAGCTTAGAGGCAGAACAGAGGTCACCAGGATGTGAGAAACTGCCCAGGTAGATGGAAGCCGTGGGTCATGCCATCCATCCCCCTGTCTCCAGCCAAAGGGCAGGGACCTGACCCAGGACCAGGCAGGTGGAAGGAAATGCCACAGTATCCCCTGAGTCTCTAAGCCCTGGGACAACAGGCACCTGGCCAGGCCTGGAGACACATGAGATGCCCTTTTATGGGTTTTTCCAAGGACTCAAGACTCAAGATTGGAAATAGCAGGCCCTGCATCTCAGCAGAAGGGACCTCATGACTCATTTCCTCCCAGACCAGCTTCAGCCTAGGATATCAACCCTCCTCCTCCCTACCTAATTGCCCAATACCCAGGCTACCAACATGCTTGGGTCTAAGGACAGCTACAGCTGGGGCGCTGAGCAGAGGGGAGGAGGGGCTGGCAGGGTAGGGAAGGGGCTGTCACTCACCACCAGCTCATGGTTGGATGGAGGAACGCAGGGGGCAGCCACCTGTGGGAGGAGCAGAGAAAGGGCAGGTTAGCATCTCTCATCTCCATAGACACCCAGGACCTCCTGAGATCACCCAGGCCCCCACCTCCACGTGGGACACCCCTTCCCTCTATGCACACACGCGGAGACCTCCCAGTTTGAAAATTCAGAAGACTATGTAGCAATATGGAAAAACACTTAGGCAATAATGCCCCAAAATGGGGAGGAGGGTGCAGAAGGCAAAAACGAAATGTACATCCCAATTAAAATTCTGTAAAAAATATGCAGACGCTGAAAGACTGGAGGCCAATACACCAGCGTTTTAATAACAGCAGGTTAAAGTCCTAAGAGTAAGAATTTATTCTTATTCTTTGTCTTATTTTCTGAATCTTCAACAATATGGTAAGATTTGTTTTAAGTTTTTAAAAACTGTGATTAAGGGCCGGCCCAGTGGCACACTCAGTAGAGTGCGGCGCTTGGGAGCGTGGCGGCGCTCCCGTCGAGGGTTCGGATCCCATATAGAGACTGGTCCGCTCACTGGTTGAGCGTGGTGCGGGCGCAACACCGAGGGTTGTGATCCCGTAACTGGTCATGAAAAAAGACAAAAAAGAAAAAAAAAAAAACTGTGATTAAGACCTCTAGAAAAGGAAGAGTCACCTCCTCTGTTCTCCCCAATACCAAGGTATCTCAGCCACGGTCAGGGCTGCAGAAGGCTCCTACCAGCTCTGGCCAAGTTTCCCAGAGCGTGCAGGGAAAAGGCTGGTAAAGGGCCCCTGCTAGTTTTTCCAGAGAAAGCACCAGCGTCGCTAATAAATGTGGAAGGCTTTGAAGGGCACAAGCACCCTCTACTTGTGAGCTACTATGCTCATCAGTTTCATCCTCATCTTCCTCCCTAGGGGGAGGAGCGGGGGCGTGGGGAGGGGAAGGAAGGAGGGCTCCTTTGCTGCCTTCCCTGAGATAACATTCCCCTGGCCAGGCCTGGCAGCCAAACCATTACCCTGACAATTAGCAGGGGCATTTATCAGAGACTCAATGTGCTCCTTTTTTCTAGCTGGGACACGCTTTTCTTGGAGCTCAGTCCTCAACCTTGGCTCCAATTCCCGACCCGAACACTAGGCAAGGGGCCCACAGAGGAGACAGACGGGGAGGCTCTCCCTCGGGCATGAGGGCACAAGCCATGGATAGCCAAAGAGTGGGGAGCTGCCTCCCCAGACAGTGGGCACCCCCTCCCCACCCACCAGCCCAGAGGAGCAGTGCTGGTGAGAGCCTGCAGCCCCAGCATATGCTGGCTGTTCACCCACCCCAGTGGGACCCTCCTTCCACCTGACCCAGTGCTGTCGTCCCACGAGCCCTAGGGATGCCCCAGGCTTGACACACCAGCCCAGACAAGGACAACACCTGTGTGATGGTGTGCCCACACTCTGGAGGGGTGAAGGGGCTGGCGGTTAGTATCCCCAGGTTCTTGACCCAGTTGTGCTACTGGCTCCCTGCCCACCTCATTCTCCAGCAGGGAGGCCCAAGTTGAGTCTTAGTATTTATCACTTTACTCAGCTTTACTCCAGGACTGTGGGGAGAATTGTATGGGGCCAAAAAAAAAAAGAACAAACAATATCTAACACATTAAATATTTACTATATGATGGGTATTATTATAAATGCTTTACCCATGTTAACTCATTTAATCCTTTCAACAATCCAGTAATGTAGGTACTGTATCCCCAGTTGAGGTGCATGAGGCACAGAGAGGTTAAACAACTTGCCCAATGTCACACAGCTGATAAGTGGCTGGGATTTGAACCCAGGCTGTCTGATTCCCAAGATGAGATGTGAAAGGGACCTTGTCACTCATGGCCTTACTTTCAGGAGAGTGAAGACACACAGGGGAACAGAGCTGCTCCCAGAAGTCCAGGGCTTTCGATACACATAAGCACGGGGCTATGAGCAACTGTTCTAGGAGAGGCTTCTGGGGGGAGAGGGTTGAGGGGTGGAGTGGAGGGTGCTGGGGGAACAGATGGGAGGGGAGGGAAGGTCCCCAGAGCCAGCCGTGGCCTGCAGGGCTCCCTGCCTGCCCTGCCCACCAGACAAGATTTTAGGCAGAGGACACAGCTGTCCCTGCCAGGCACAGCCCCAAACCCCACTCTGGGGCCTGTGAGGCTTCAACGTCACGAGCTAGGCCCCAGGTGGAAGTGGGTACAAGCCACAGGACAGCACCCTTGCTGGGGTGAGCAGGGACTTGAGTGAGAGACCAAGCTGTGAGAAGAGGGGATGCTGGCTGCTACTGCCACAGCCCCCAGACTGCATCAGCCCCCTCCGTTCCAGGAGGCAGGCTTCTAGTCTCTATTAGGGACTGGGGACTGGGGAAGTGAGGGGGCATTACGGATGCTCTCTGAGGCAGAGGCAGAGTGGACAGGTATTCTCTGAACAAGTGGGAGGGTCTCTCTCCCAAATCTACCCTAAGGCAGTGGAGTGGCTGAGCCCTGGCCAGAAGGCCTGCTGCCTGGGTGCCCCTCGCAACCTGCTGTCCCCACTGGCTCCTCCATCCTCCACCCCCGGCTGTGCGTTCCAGGCCACCCGGCCAGCCGGCCATTAGCTTTGTTGTGCCTTTCAGTGTTTGTGTCTCTCTCTCTTTTTCTAAGCGGAAAAATGTTTCCTTAAAAGGCTGTCTCCTTCCCTCCAGCCCCCTGGCCCCTGGCCACCTTCTCAGGAGCCTGGAATGTGCCAGGGAGAGCCAGGGCCTCCTGCCACCCTGTGGCCCGTGCCCTATGGCCCTACACTCCTGGTGTCCACAGGGGCCACCCCCATTGTCTCTTGGGGACCCAAGCTAGGAAGGGCATGCTCTGAGGGGTCTGCAGGGGCTCTCAGTGCCAGCTCTGTCACCCATTCACCTCCGAGGGCTGGCAGCACAGGGTTCTAGGCTCAGACCCAGGAAGGCAGCCTGAGGTGAGCCTCCATCCCCTGGCATACCTTAAATGACCCATCTAGACACTGCAGGCAGAGAGGGCTTTCTGCTCAATCTTTCCACTCTGAATAACATAATAATAAAAGTCACAACAGCAGCAGCAAATACTCCCATTGCACTTGTTCTCTGCCAGGCACTGTTCTTAGCACTTAGTGTAAATTAACTCATTTAATTCTCACAACAGTCCTGAGCACTATAATTATTATCCCCATCTTGTGGATGAGGAGACTGAGGCACAGAGGTGAATAGTTCGCCAGCAGGAGGCGGGATACAAACCCAGCAGTCTGGCTCCAGAGACATGCTCTTGCCCTTGATGCTGCACTGACTCTCCTGCAAACACTCCTTTCCAGAAAGCCACTGGAAATGACAACAGACTGCTCATGAACTGTGCTGTGTGTCTGTACTCAGCTTAATTACTATACTAAGCCTTTTGCTCCCCCATTCACAGATGAAGAAACTAAGGCACAGAAAGGCTAACGATTTGCCCAGCATGGCAGCAGAGCAGTCTGGCCCCAGAAGTTGCAAGGTGGGGACCTGGGAGTGCAGCTGGGAGGTGACAGTGTTAGCAGCCCAGACCAGAGCCAATGCCTGGCATTCATCAGCAACCCCACCCACTGAGATTTTCTCATTTTCAAAGGACCCTGGGCACAATGCCAACAACAGAACACACCTGTGGAGACACCCCCTAAGACAAGACAGTAGCCAGCCCAGGTGGGGATCTCCCTGTATGCCCTGGTCCCTGCTGTCCTCTCAACCTTCATTCTGTGCCCATACCTCTTGTCCTTGTCCAGGACCCAAAGCCACACATAAGGTGTAGGCTCCTCTCGGTCCTTCTAATGCCTGACTCTGTTCTTCCTCAGGGCCTTTGCATATGCTGTTCCCTTGCCTGGAATGCACCTCCTCCAGCTGTCTGCATGGCTGTGTTCTTCCTGTCCTTCTGACTTTGGCTTAAATGCCACCACCCCAGAGATGCCCTCCACGACTTCCTTGAGTTACACACACCTGATATTGTCTCTCCTGCACCCACATCTCTTTCTTCACGGACCTAATTACAATGTTTAACTATAGGTGTGCATTTCCTTGTCCATAACCGGCTTTTCCTCTATGAAACAAGTGCCGTGAGGGCAGGAAGCACATCTTGCTCATCCCACTGGTCCCAATACACAGCAGGTGCACACGAAATACCCATTGAAAGAATGAAAGCAACTCAAGGCCTGAGGAAGGGAGGCACCTGTGGCCACCTGTGGTAAAAGTCACTGCCGTTTGTGGAGCACCTACTACACGCCTCTGGCACTGAGGCTAATCCTGTCATATGCCTGATCTCTCGGAGACCCTCCAATCCTACAGTCAGCAAGACTGCTTCCATTTCACAAACGAAGAAACAGAGGCTCCAAGAGGTCATGATGCTTGCCCCAGGTTGATCAGCTGGAAAGAGTACTTTGAATGTCTAGTGAAGGAGTTAAGACCTTTAGCTACTAGCATTGGGGAGCCACTGAACACACCTGAGTAAGAGAGGGACCAGGCTGAAGCTCTGCTCCAGATAGAGAGTTCTTAGAGTAGAGTCCAGGGGGAGGTGCAGGGTGGGAGCTTAAGGCAAGCGGGGGATGTGCAGTAACAATACTGATAACAATGAGGGGAAGGAGAAAGGAGCGGGAGAAGAGGAGCCCTGAAGCTGGGGGACAAGGGGCCAACAAAACACATTTGCACAGACCCCCACCCCCAGCCTCTGCTTCTCTTCCCCAACCCAGAGCATGAGAGGGCACCAACCCCCACTCCCAGAGCGGATCCAGCATGCCCAATGCTCTGCCCACTGTTTACCCTTTTGTGACCAGGAGGCAGCCAGCTTCTGAGCCCTGGCCATTGAGGCAACACCAGAGGGGTCAAGAATAACCCAGACAATGATCCCAGAGGGCCCAGTCTCCACGCCTGTGACTGAGGAAACACAGATGACCCCTCATCTGTGGACAGCCCAGCTCCTCAGCGTTCAGATCGTTAGTCCACTGAGCCCTATCAAGAAGGCCCAGCCAGCTCCTGTGAGCCCCGCAAGTGTAGGCTGGAAAGCA